TCCATGTGTGAGCTCTGGCACTCAGCAGCATGAAAAAGGGTGCATTCACTTACCACAGCCCCAGGCAAGCACCCCAAGCCACTCCTACAATCAATCACATGGGGCTTGGAGGGGATAAGTTTGCAGATCCTGCATCTCTGCTGATAAGGGTTAGTTTCTGCCAGCTCCTTCCTATGGGCCTGCATTGCCAGGCTCTGAACAGGGAAAGTTCATATCCACTGCTTTCTAAATGCCTGTGTCTTGTGTTCATGCCCATTGCAATCACGGGTTCTCATCATAAGCAGGGACCATTGTTGCTACCAGTGCCATTCTGACTGGATTCTCCTTCTCTAGGGTTGTTCTTAGGGTCCCAATTCTTTTGAGCTCTCAGTCTATCATCTGTAATACTGACCCATGATTTCGTTGAACGTCTGAACATATTATTTTGCATTTCCTTATAATTTATTGCCATCCCTAGGAGGAGGTATTGGGATACTCACTACACCGACCTATCCAGATTAGCAGTTTACTACTCTTTGCTTTGATTTGTTGCCTTCTAACTGCTCTCAAAGGATGGCCTCCCTGCACCTCCCATGAGTTAAAGAGATCCTAACTGCCTCAGAAGGCCAGGCCTTCCACTTTTGGTTTTAGTTATAGGCAGAATCCCACACATCCAAATACTTACCATCCTTTCTGCCTAGGCTGGATTGAAAGCAGCAAAGCACAAGCAGATTCTGATCCGGAGGAAGCACATGGGTCATGTAGCCATTCAGCTGACTGACTTGCCTCAGCAGTCTAGGGCTCTGCTCACCTCTTCAATATCTAACATTTTTCTAGGGATTATATTGCTTTTCTCCATGCAGACAACAGATCATTCCAATGGTCTTTAATGCACGTGTGTGCCTGAGGCCATCATATTATGACACTTGACATGTAACATACAGTACATGAAGGCCATGGGCTACAAACCCCAACAACATATTAGCTGTGTAACCAGCTGCTTGTTTTAAAATCTCATTCTGCCTTTTCCTACATTTAAGAAATGCTCAGCCCACACCTGCTTGTTTCTTTGCCAAATCTCACTTTGCAAACTGAACCTGAAATACAGGAGCACAAAGTACTTCCTGAAACACCACCACATGCCATACTCCTTGGGCTGCACAAAGCGCTCTTCTCCAGGAAGAGCCTTAGCACCTCCCTTCACAGACAGGCTTTGTGACAGAAGAAGGGATCACATGAACATTTCCCCCAAAACACCTGCCTTGGAAATGATAGAAGAAACAGAAGAGGTCCAGGGAAAGGCAACAAAAATGATCAACGGCCTGGAAAGCCTTCCATATGAAGAGAAAAGGAATAAAGAGCCTAGAGAAGACAAAAACTAAGAGGGGATGTGATAGAAATGTATAGAAGAATGGTAAAGAGAAGGGATGTTCCTATTACACTAATAATACAAGAATAAGGGCACAAAGAAATCAAAGGGAACCATTTAAAACTGTCAAGAAAATCCATATTTTAAAGCCACAACACATAGTATATGGAACTAACTGCAGCAAAATATCATGGCGGCCAAAAGCTCAGTAGGATTCAACAAAGCATTAGCCATTTGTATGGCTAATGAAGCCATTCAGTTACAAGTTTCCTGTGTCTGTGGAGCCCAGACAGGATGGTCCATGGTTCTGACATAGTGTGGCTGTCCTTATTCCTTCCAGTGGGTCAGTAGATAACAAACAGCTGCCTTGCCCAGCGACATGCAAAGTAAGGTCTCCGAACCCAACTGTTCCCTTTTTTCAGGGACACTTCAGATTAGTTGCCTTGCCAAATGCTGCCACTCAGCCTGGCGCAGGCAGCACCACTTGGCTGTTAACACCTTTGTGAGGGGATTAAAGGCAATTCTGTTAATTTTAAAAGCAATGTTTAACTAGCATCTTTTAAAGAGACACTCTTACCACCTGCTTAAGCTTCACAGACCTCCAGCCCCTGAGCACAGACCTCCAGCCCCTTTTGGACTTTTCAGAACCAACTGCTTTCAAATTGAAAACTGATTAATACACTAAGAGCTATCTCCCCCATCCATCCTAGTCTCCCTGTGGCAGTAGTCTGGAGAGAAACAACCTAGCCCAGCATGCTCAGGGCCAGCTAATTTCAGTGGGCTACAGCAGCTACCAGGTTAGCACATTACTAAGTAGGGATCAATGCCACATACTTAGCAGGATCAGCTCTTCCGCTTCTGTGCTCAGTCTCCTGGGCAGTCGGCAAGCTTCGCCTCTTCACAGGATCTCATGTGAGTCCACTGCTGGCTTCTCCTCAGCATCACCATGGCACTAGATTTACTGTTCCCATCACAGAAACAAAAACACCTACACTCCTGCTCAGACTCCCCGACAAACTCTGCTTCCAGTAGACAGAGAAAGAGCCAACAGGATTGACTCCTAAGCAGCACACAGGTTCCAGATTTCACCAAGCAGGGCCAGCTATGGGCATCAGAGAGTACCTCTTCATTGCTGACACAGCCACTCCAGCACCTGCTTCAGACACAGGAATAGCCCCAGTGCCCCCAGAAATGGCAGCTCTGTGTACATCCAGGTGCCAGAAGAGCCCTCTAAGGAACAACAACGGTTTGTAAAGTCCATTACCTCCCCACCCTCTTTCAAAGCCATCTTGAGCATCACCAAGGGGCACCAGTATCAGCCTTCAGGGATCAGAAAAGCTCATGTCACTTAACCATCCCCTCACCCTGCACCCCCACACCCAGAAGAAAGACAGTAGGCTAAACCCCAAGAGCTCAGAAATTACCCTCTTGCAGGATACCAAAAGGTTTCTGCCAGGTCCCAAGACAAGCCCAACAGAGAGTGGGATACAGTGCTCACTTCAGGACACGCTGAAATCTACCTGTACCTTGCCTCCACTAGAATTTTACAGCAAGAGACCTATCACAAGTTAGGTGGCTTTTTTTTTTTTTTTTTTTTTATAAAACAGGGAGATCACTTTTTTTTTGGCGGTGAAGATATAAACTGGAAGAGTTAAAGCCTAGTGCACTCCAGGCTCCAATACAACCAGCTAAAGCACCTTCAAATGTGTTAGGCTTGGTCTAAGCCAAAAACTTTTGCCAGTAATGTCACTTACTGGCATGATTTTTTAAGGACATTTCTGTAACTGCACAATCATTCCAGACACAGTTATACAAACAACACATGCTTCTACTGGTATCTTATTTTGTTTGGGGAACCAGTAGAAACTATACTGGCAAAAGCACTCTTTTGCTGGTACAAACAGCATTTTATTAAGGTTTCAGAGGAACAGCCGTGTTAGTCTGTATTCGCAAAAAGAAAAGCAGTACTTGTGGCACCTTAGAGACTAACCAATTTATTTGAGCTACAGCTCACTTCATCAGATGTTTACCGTGGAAACTGCAACAGACTTTATATACACACAGAGAATATGAAACAATACCTCCTCCCACCCCACTGTCCTGCTCTGATGATAGTTCATTTTTGTAGCAAATGCCAGACTTTAGGACTTGCCTACTCTTAAAGTTCATTCAGATTAAGGTTGGGTGAGTTTAAAGTGCAACAGTGATTCCTGAATTCCAGAACAAGTGTCCACATATGGAGTTGAGTGTGCGTTATTCCAGTTTGATTTAATTCAGTGGATTAAACTAATCTATCAGACAATGGCAGAAAAAGATCCAACGATGGGAAGAAGAAACTAAACAAAATCAGAACAGAAATAAAATGTAAATTTTTAACACGGACGAAAACTAACTATTGGATCAATTTACCTTGGGACTGGGTGTATTCTCCCACAGTAGAAGTTTTTAATCAAACCTGGATGTCTTTCTAAAAGACACATCCAACTCAACCAGCAGTTGTGGGTCTGAGGCAGAAACCAGTGGGTGAAATGCTAAGGCCTGTGTTACCCAGGAAATCAGACTAGACCATCACCACGGCCCTCAAAGCCCACCCCTCCGTGCTGGCCACTCAGAGTCCAGAAGGAATGCTTGTGGGACCCCCAGACCAGCCAGCAAAGGGCCGCTAGCGACTGTCAGTGAACCGGCAACGAACTCCTTCCTGCAGACCCAGCCCAACCCGGCCAGACCCGCTGGGGGGGGACAAAGGGCCCAGCCCGCGGAGGAAGAGGGCGGCGACAGGTCACACAGGTGGGCTCTGAGGTGCAGCCCCCTAGGAGCTGGGGGGGGCTGAGCGCGACATGGGGCCACGGGCGGAGCCCCTCGGGGGTGGGGGAGAGCCCTTGGCCGAGCCCCCCCGGGGACGAGGGAGGGTAGCGGGGGGGCGGGGCCCAGGCCGAACCCCCCGTGGGGAAGGGACCTGGGAGGGGGAGGGGCCGAAGTGAGGGGGGGCTGAAGGGGTGCGGGGCCCAGGGACTGGAAGACTAAGGGGGGAAGGGACCGGGCCCGGCCCCCCCAAAGTGAGGGGGGAAGGGAGGGGAGAGCCCCGCGGGGGGGAGGGGCCCGGGCCCGGCCTCCCGGGGTGAGGGGGCTGGCGGGGGGGAGGGGCCCGGGGGGGGGGGCCAGACACCCCCCCAGGGTGAGGGGGCTGGCGGGGGGGAGAGGAGAGCCCCGCGGGGGGGGGGCCCGGGCCGGACACCCCCCCAGGGTGAGGGGGCTGGCGGGGGGGAGGGGAGAGCCGCGGGGGGGGAGGGGAGAACCCGGCGGTGGGGGAGGGGCCCGGGCTGGCCCCAGCTCACCTAGCAGACCGGATCACAGGCGGCCCCGCGCCGGACCAGCCCGGCTCCCGGCTCCGGACACAAAGCCGCACGGGCGGGAGGAGGCGGCGGCGGCGACGGCTCCGCCCCCCGACCAGCCTCCCGCCAATCAGCATCCGCTCACCTCCTCGGTCCCCACCCCCTCCCCAAGCCCCGCCTCCGCGCGCTCGGCCTATCACCGCCATCGTCCTGTACATACGGCGCCCCGCCCATACCGCGGGTGGCGCGCGGCGCCTCGCCGGCCCGGTCGCTCCCCTCCCCCGCGTCAGGCGGCGGTTGGCGAGGCGGTTGGAGCGGCCCGCGCGCGTGCGCGTGCCCGCCCCGCCGGAGCTGGGGCCGGGCCCCGCTCTCGGCACCGCCCGGCTCCTGAGGGGAAGCGGGTGCCCGCGGCGGGGTGGGAAGCTCTGCCGGAGGCCCCGCGTGTCTCCCTCACCGGCCGGCTGCCCCCGGGGCGTCCGTTCCCCGGGAGCCCAGAGAGGGGCCTGCCCCCGGGGGGAGCCTGGGGGGCTGGCCCTGCCCGGGAGCGTCCGGGAGGGTGGGACCCGAGTGCATCCGACTTTGCCCCAGGCAGCGCGACTCCCCCTCCAGGCTGGGTGGAGGCGGGGAGGGGAAGCGGCGTAGCCCGCTCCTGCCCGGGACCCCCGCTCCTGCCCGGGAACCCCGCTCCTGCCCGGGAACCCCGCGGGCTGGAGGAGCAGGAAAGTCTGGTTCCCGCACGACAGGGACTTTCCGCCGGTGACAGCCACAGGCCTGGGCCCTGCCTGCACCATGCACCATTTCCTTTTACGGAGCTGCAGCCGCTCCGGGCCAAACTCATCCTGCGTGTAACTCGGCTTCGGCCCAGTTACACCAAGGATGAACGACTCGAAGCTCAGCCGTTGCTGATTGGGGAACAGAGCCATTTTGGGAGTAACGCTGCAAAGCCAAAGCGAGCAGGCTTGACAGTGGAGCTGCCTGCAGATGACAAGAACCCCCCTGAGAGCAGGTACAGTTAGTGAAAGTCACTTTTGGTGTTAGTTTTGCTCCAAGTCACTCGACAACTCTCTATTACACTAAGTTACTAAATGAGAAATGACACAGGAATGTCCGGTTTGTGTAGAACCTTCCCCTCCACCCTGAAGGGGCGGCTGCCCCTGGAAGCCGAGTCTGCAGCTGGGAATAAACTCCCACTCACGAAGCTTTGGCTAGACAGCGTGGACATTGCTGCTTGGCCTACAGCTTGCCTCTCAAGCCTAAGCAGTTGGATGGGTTTGGGAGGCCAAACTGAAACGTCCACACTATTCTCAGGCTTCAGCCCCAATATCCTGAGTCTGTCTACCCAGGCTGAGTGGCTTGCTCCCAGCTGCACCGTAGACATACTCAGAACGGCCTGCTGGGACTCTAGGATTTTAGATTGGCTGTAAATGAGAATAATTCAGAGTTTCTGCTCTGGCTCCAGTTTCAGCCCATGGCCCCTTGCTTCACCTGGCAGGGGCTGCTCCAATAGATTTTCTGAACACATGAAGTCCTGCTAATTTGCAGGGATCCTGGATTACCCAGGGCAGGATGAGGGCTCCCAGCTGTAGCAAAAAGAAAAGGAGTACTTGTGGCACCTTAGAGACTAACCAATTTATTTGAGCATGAGCTTTCGTGAGCTACAGCTCTGATGAAGTGAGCTGTAGCTCACGAAAGCTCATGCTCAAATAAATTGGTTAGTCTCTAAGGTGCCACAAGTACTCCTTTTCTTATTGTATAATCTGTCACCCTGAGCAGCAGCCCCCCCAGCTAATCCAATCCTGGGTGTTCCTTTATGCAACTCTGCAGATGCACCTCACTCGTGGCCTCCAGCACTCCCTGCTACGCCAATCCTGGGAATCTCCTCCCCAGAACTCTGGTGAAGCATCCCAGTCCCCTGAATTGTGGGGCTTTCAGCCAGCTCTGCTCATGTGCCTTGGGTCTGACCTACAGTCCCCCAGCTAATCTAGTCTCAACCCAACTCAGTTTTGACCTGTGACCCCAATTCCCATTTGCCCCTGACATTTCTGGAAATGTATGTGCTTTCTTCTTGAACAATAGCTAAACATTAGTTGTTGTTCTCTTTGCATCTCCTCACCTGTTCTTAAATTTCAGAACAAGGGATAACGCAAAACGTACGAAGAGGAGCGCAGAGCTGTGGATTAGGATGGACAACCCATTCCGCTCCCTCCTGTACCAACAATAAGCAGAGCTCCAGCAAGGGCTCAGGGAAAGATGGTTTTTCCCTAGTTTTTTTTATGCCATCTCTAAATACATAGACTCTTTGTCCCACGCACAGAAGGCTGCAGATCCCTGGATATGTACATGGGGACTGATATGCAGCAAGAACACATCCCCTTGTGGGCATGTCAGACCTGGTGTATTAGTCTTTTTCCCTGAAGGCTGGTCATGTTAATGACCCTGGCTGGCCGGCCTGGGATGGTTTGGAATTCAGACTATTCAGATCGCTGCAGTGTTTGCCCCTTCACCAGTAGGAGGCATGTGCACATTCCAGCAGCTGAGAACAGATGCACCTTTGCTCTTTTCCAAAGGAGGAAATAACACTAGATCTGTCCCCACCTTTGTGAGGCAGGTGGGTGTGCAAATGTGAGCACAATCATTTTCAGCAGGATACCTCTTGAAAACAAGAATCCCTCTTTTCTCTAACGGCAGAAATCATAGAATCATAGAATATCAGTGTTGGAAGGGACTTCAGGAGGTCATATAGTCCAACCCCCTGCTCAAAGCAGGACCAATCCCCAACTAAATTATCCCAGCCAGGGCTTTGTCAAGCCTGACCTTAAAAACTTCTAAGGAAGGAGATTCCACCACCTCCCTAGAGAACGCATTCCAGTGTTTCACCACCCTCCTAGTGAAAAAGTTTTTCCTAATATTCCAACCTAAACCTCCCCCACTGCAACTTGAGACCATTACTCCTTGTCCTGTCCTCTTCTACCACTGAGAATAGTCTAGAACCATCCTCTCTGGAACCACCTCTCAGGTAGTTGAAAGCAGCTATCAAATCCCCCCTCATTCTTCTCTTCCGCAGACTAAACAATCACAGTTCCCTCAGCCTCTCCTCATAAGTCATGTGTTCCAGACCCCTAATCATTTTTGTTGCCCTTTGCCCCTTTGGACTCTCTCCAATTTATCCACATCCTTCTTGTGGTGTGGGGCCCAAAACTGGACACAGTACTCCAGATGAGGCCTCACCAATGTCTAATAGAGGGGGACGATCACGTCCCTCGATCTGCTCACTATGCCCCTACTTATACATCCCAAAATGCCATTGGCCTTCTTGGCAACAAGGGCACACTGCTGACTCATATCCAGCTTCTCGTCCACTGTCACCCCTAGGTCCTTTTCCGCAGAACTGCTGCCTAGCCATTCGGTCCCTAGTCTGTAGCGGTGCATTGGGTTCTTCCGTCCTAAGTGCAGGACCCTGCACTTATCCTTATTGAACCTCATCAGATTTCTTTTGGCCCAATCCTCCAATTTGTCTAGGTCCCTCTGTATCCTATCCCTGCCCTCCAGCGTATCTAGCACTCCTCCTAGTTTAGTATCATCCGCAAATTTGCTGAGAGTGCAATCCACACCATCCTCCAGATCATTTATGAAGATATTGAACAAAACCGGCCCCAGGACTGACCCCTGGGGCACTCCACTTGACACCGGCTGCCAACTAGACATGGAGCCATTGATCACTAATCTGTAACAGGTCCCCATTTAGTGGAGACTAGAGAGCTCCCAGAAAATCTGTGTCAGGTAACAGGAATATGAGTCAAGATGGCTGACTTACCAAGCATAAAAATGTAGCCTCAATCTTCTCTATAACGTCAAGCACCAGACCCACATTTTTTACCACCCAACTGAGCCAGTCTGCTGCTGCGGTCTCCTTCCCCACCCTTCTGGGATGACCTGCAAGGTGAGGCCTAAGTCCACGTGCCAACAGCTTCCTGTTGCGGGAGGTGAGAGCCTGTCCCTAGCAGCTTGTGGGGGTGAAATGTGACGAGGCCTGACTGTCCATTTGGATCAGGACCATTTTTTGGGATACTGACATTGTGGGAGCCTACATCACAGCTGCCCTTACTGCTGCAACATTTATTTGAGAAGAGGACCAGACACCTTGGATGTTGCCCCCTTACCCAAGGGTTCCCCCTTTGGCTGGTCACCAACATTGGTCTAGCTGGTCACTGAAGGAATTTGGAAGTTCCCTGCATACTGTAGTCAGTCTGTAAACCTGCTACCAAGCTTAAGCTGAGGGAATCGGGAACGATACATGGAGGTGAGTGTCCTTATCTGGCTTGGGATCACGGGCATGTCACTGTCCTTTCAGGATACCTTAAGTGACAACTTGGAGTGGATGGCACACCAAGAGGGGCAGGGATGGCGGGTGCAGGAATGGGGGGGTGTGCCAAAGGGGGCGGGGGTGAGGGACATGCCAACAGGAGTGGGGGTGGCAGGCATGTCAAGAGGGGGGCAGGAGCTGGGAGTGCACTGAGAGAGGTGGGGGCGCCGACGGGGGCAGGAGCAATAAAAGCATCACTCTCGTCCACCAGGGGTGGACACTCTCCAGTTGTACTTGGGATAGAGACTCGTTCTCCACCTCTGACTAGAGGATGATAGGGGAGTGCAAACCCAAAGGACCGTGTGACCTCAGCTGAACCATAGCATCAGCCAGATGTGATGGCAAGAAAACCAGCATGTCAGGGGCATGGTGTGTCCTGGTCTCTGTGCATAGTCTAGGCCTGACCTCCAGAACATGGAGAAACAAACTTCACAGACTACTTTAGAGCCAGGAATGTCTGCAGAAGTCACCACTAGGCCTAGCTGCCAGTACTTCCAATTCCATATATGGACAAAAAAAGAAGGGGCTGCTGGAATGTCAATGCAAGGGGGAACATATGCTTCCTGCTAGAGGTGGCCCAATGACACAACACTGAGCAGCATCCATCGAGTGGGGAGCAATTTCAGCTGAAGAGCCTTTAGATGTAGCACTCCAGCCCCATGTCTAATAGCCAGGGTGACATATCCACAGTGAAAAGTCAAAGACTAAGGATCACCTTGGAGCTGGGGCCCTTGATTTGATTGGCTGGGGCTAGTGTATAAGGGAGGGGGCCCCGCAGCCAGGCCTTACAATGCGTGTCAGCACTCTTGGCAATTTCCTACCTTCAGGTCTGTACTGAGCGATGATGGTCACTGTCTGCCCTGCCCGTTTCAGAGCTGCTGCCGCCTGCTCGTGAGTTGCATTCCGGAGATTTACACCATTTACCTGATCAAACACAAATGAGGGAATCCGATTAGTTATTGATAGGGCAGCTTAGAGCCACAATGCCTTGAACTGCCCTCAGCTCACCAGCTGAGACCCCCTTCTCAAGTCTGCTCTATACACTCTGCTCAGAAGCCCCTTTCTAAAAATAATCCCCTTAGCTAACGTCCCCTAAGATGCTAAGCTCTGCAACGCCACAAGAAACCCCCCATTTATATCTTGACCCCAGGCTTCAGTCCTAGCTGGTGATACACCTGCACGGCTTGCTCTCTCTCGCTGCAAGTTGCAGTTTGGCTACCACAGGTAGATTGCTGGTTGAGAATAGTGCAGAGAGAAGATGGCTTCACTCACCCCCTATACAGCCAGGGGAAGGTACTGTGTCCACACACAGCAACCCTGAGCACACAGTGCTACTGCCTCTGTTTGCACCTTAGGACTCCTCACTCTCTGTGGCAGGGAGTCTTCCCGCGAATGCACCCATTTCCCCCTGGACTGCCTGCTGGTGAACTGAAGGAAACCTGTGAGGGAGCTGACAGCTCTGATGGTAAAGGTGACAGTTGTCAGGTTGACATTTCTCTGTCTGTGCCAGCGAGGTGTTCTGGACTGATTGAACCTGCAACGACTGAAACTCAGTTGGTGGTCACCTCTACAAAATCTGGGTTAACTTGCAGTGACTGCTACACGCCCAGCAACGGACTGAAATATTTGTGTGTGTGGATTCAAAATGCATTTCAGTCGTCTGAGAGGGAAGGACAATATCTACAAACTTAACAGTAACAAATTCACATGTATTAGAGAGAAAGGGGTTTTCCCATCACTAAGGCCTTATCTACAGGGAAAAGATTTACTGGGTACACTGATCTCGTTATACAGTCCCCCTGTGCGGACACTTACTCCAATATAAGGGCTTGTCTACACTGGCACTTTACAGTGCTGCAACTTTCTCGCTCAGGGGTGTGAACTCAGCCCCCCCCGAGCGCTGCAAGTTTCAGCGCTGTGAAGTGCCAGTGTAGACAGTGCATCAGCGCTGGGAGCTGCGCCCCTCCTGGAGGTGGTTTTCTTAGAGCTCTCCCAGCGCTGCGACCACACAAGCCCCATGAAAGCGCTGCCGCCAGTGAACACATGCCCTAAGGGTGGCTTTCTTAAACCCCTTCCCAAGCATCATAAGCTACGTGTAACACGTTTCTCTTATACCTGTATAATATGTCCCGATGGGGAGGGTGGGGTATACCAGTATAACTAGACCAGGTTGAATTCACACCTAAGCTCATACCGAAACACTGCCCTGTGTAGAGAAGGACTAGTACTCCAAACTACAGGCTGAGTAAGAGCAACAGCCGATAGAAACGATACACACCGATTTCCACAGCCAAACAGGAAACCATTACAAATAACACACACACTCTGAGCCCTCTCCAAAAAGGCTCTAGATACAATCACAGTCTCTCAGATCAAACTAGAGCAGGGGTGGCCAACCGGAGCCTGAGAAGGAGCCAGAATTTACCAATGTACATTGCCAAAGAGCCACAGTAATACGTCAGCAGCCCCACATCAGCTCCCTGCCCCGCTCCCAGCACCTCCTGCCCACCAGCAGCCCCACCGACCAGCACCCACACCTCCCGATCAGCTGTTTCGTGGCATGCAGGAGGCTCTGGGGAGGGGGAGAGGGGGAGGAGCGAGGGCATGGCAGGCTCAGGGGAGGGGGTGGGAAAGGGTGGAATTGGGGCAGGGCCCGTGGCAGAGCCCGTGGCAGAGCCAGGGGGTGAGCAGTGAGCACCTCCCGACACACTGGAAAGTTGGCGCCTGTAGCTCCAGCCCCAGAGTCAGTGCCTAGACAAGGAGCCGCATATTAACTTCTGAAGAGCCGCATGTGGCTCCGGAGCCACAGATTGGCCACCCCGATCTAGAGTCCTTCTTCACCCAGATGATTGAGAGCCCCTGCCCTACCCCATGCGCTGTCCAGGAGGAGATACCAGGGCATTCCTCCCCAGACAGTGCCCTCCCACTAGCTTGCTCAGGGCCAAATGCTCAGCTGCATCTGGGGATCTTTTCAGCTCAAAGTCCAGCTCCCAACTGAACCCTATCTGTTACCCCACTAGAGTAAATGCCTCGGAATCTGGGATGCCTGGATTCCAGGTGACTGATGTCTTCCCTAGCAATACAGATCTCCAGCAGCCCTAGAGAACTCTTTAGAGCTAGGGCTAACGGAGGCAAGGGCTGTGCAAGCTTCCCTACTCACTGGTCTGCCAAGGTACCTCCGGCCAGTCCCGTCCTGGACTTCTAGCCACGCCTCCGCAGTCCCAACCTGCGATTTCAGCCCACACCAGTTACGCCAAGTACCGTTGTTTTATGATGTGAACAAAGGCATCTTGGAGATTTCATTCCAAACTCCCTTGAGACCCTCTCTGTGTTCGAACCAAGGTCTCTCGAAGCGTAGACGTGGTGCCATGGGCTAGCTGAGTACATACCTAGGTCCCCAGGGGGCTTGGACTCCAGTTGCTGGCCCATGTCACTGCACCTGCACTCCTCTTGTTGCCTGCACTAGTTAGCTGGAAGCGAGCGTGGGTATGCCTCCCTGCTCTACAATCACACCTTCGCTTGTTGTGGAGACACACCCGGAGAGAATCATTCCCCTCCTAAGCATTGTCGCAATCTGCATTTCTGCCCCAGGGCTCAGCTGTAATTCCTAGCCTCTGCTTCTCCCTCCCTGGATTGGCAAAAGCTTGGACAGTGGTGCTAGGAACAACAGGGTCAGGCTGAGGAATCTGAACCTTGCTCTACAGTGGTCACTGCTGCTCAGTGTTGGGAGTCACATCTGTGGGTCAGTCCCTGTGAGGTAAGGGCATAAATTGGTGGGAATCTTCAAAACCCCAGGGAAAGGAGGAAAATCCGCCCCCCCCCCCAGATCTGCTTTGGCCTCATCTGCATGGAATCAATACACTCATCACAGTGGCAGGGGCCAAACTGAGAGATGGAATGGACCCTGACAGGCCAAGCTCAGAACCCCGCTAAAGAATCTCTCTGGTGTGTGGCTGAAAGGATGGTTTCTAGGCAGCATCCACACACAGAGCTACTGGCCCCGTCTGCACCTTGGGACTCCTCACTCTTTGAGGGAGGGAATCTGGGTTTTGTTGGCCAAACTGCTCAGTTTTCATACTACAAAGCTCCTCGTGCACACTCAGAGCTGAGGAATGAAAACACACGTGGAAGTGACCCTGCTGTGTCTGTGACTGGGAACTCCAGCAGGACTGTGTACATTGCTGTCCTGACTCAGCCGCTGGGGCTCTAATCGCGGGGCCTGGTATCCAGGCCTCGCTCTCCTAGCTTTGCCTGGGCAGCCTCATTTTGCTGTGGAAAGAGTCTGATGCATTTGTATCTGCACTGCTGAGAATGATAACTAGGAATGCAAAACACAAGGAGATCAAATGAACTGCTAGAGGCCAGGGGACAGGTGCTCTGTAAATGCCCGAGGTAGGGGAGACAGGCAGATTGAAGAGGCAGACTGCTAGACATCATGCAGCTATAACAGCGAGAGCAGTTCCTTGCACACAAGCCCTGCAGCTGGTCAAGGCCTCTCTCAACAGCAGTGACAGGACTCACTGATAAGATGCGGTCTCCTCTCCGCAGCTCCCCACTGAGGTCGGCGGGGCCGCCAGCCAAGATGAAGGAGACGAAGATCCCCTCTCCATCCTCTCCCCCGACGATGTTGAAGCCCAGTCCAGTGGAGCCTTTGTGCAGGATGATTTTCCGGGGCTCTCTATGTGAACAGACATCAGAGACATTTAGAGAAAGGAGGGCACAACTGCCAACAAAGTCAACTGCAGTGCCCTGGGATCTGGTGCTTGCAGCTGTGCAGAAAGAAGGAAAGCCACCGAACACAGCAGGGCGAGAGCTTCCTGACGCACCTGGAATCCGGCAGGGGTGAAGTCTCCCCGGCACCCAAGCTCAGCCTCTTGCAACTCATCAGTCAGAAATGAGGAGGCTGGCAAATCACAGAGCAGGTGCTGGGAGTTGCACCATCCAACAGGCTGGAGCCTAGGGCTCCCGTCAGTCACAGGATCTAGGCCAAGGGCTGGAAGCGTTTGGAGCCTAGCAGCTGGCTGAATAGGGCTCTGTACACAGAGGAAAGGAGCTGGGGAAGGGAAGGACTGACTCTGGGGACTACAATAGGGCTCCAGGAAAGCTGCAGCCCGGGCAACATGCCACCAGGCCAAAGCTATCGGGCAGTGAGCTGGGAGGCAGTTTTATGCCAGCCAGACTTTCACCCTGAGAATAACCAAAGAGCACTGACTGGCAAAACCCACCCTGTCAAAGGAATGGATTTTACAAAATCATTTGACAGCCTCCATCGCGATTCACTCTGGAATATCTTGAAGTGCTATTGAATACTAACACAAATAATTAACAGATTTCAGAGGGGTAGCTGTGTTAGTCTGTATCAGCAAAAACAATGAGGAGTCCTTGTGGCACCTTGGAGACTAACAAATTTATTTGGGCATAAGCTTTCGTGGGCTAAAACCCACTTCATCAGATGAAGTGGGTTATAGCCCACAAAAGCTTATGCCCAAATAAATTTGTTAGTCTCTCAGGTGCCACAAATAATTAACTTTATCAAGGCTTTATATCAAAGTGCAGGTCGCCCAGGTGAAATAAATGCAGATGTGAGTGAATGGTTTAACACAGACACTGGTGTCAAGCATGGATGTGTTCTGTCATCTCTCGTGTTTGGCATTGCCATTGATTTCCTTATGGACAAATCCAACACAGGTAACGCATGGTTCAGCAACAAGACACTAGAAGATCTAGATTTTGTTGATGACACAGTCCTTCTAAGTGATAGTTGAACTAACATATAAGCAAAGACTGAAAGACTGTCCAGCATCACAAAACAGGTGGGATTAATAGTTAATTATGAAAAAACAAATTGAACAAGAACCCCAGGAATTACCAACTGAAGTATTTCTTTGGAAGGCAAAGGAAGAAAGAAGTGAGTCAATTCACGTACCTTGGTATTAACATGCAAGCTAATGGGAATGTCCAGAAAGCAATAATGTCACAAATTGGCAAGGCAGCAGCTGCATTTATCACAAGGGTTCTCAAACTTTTTTTGTCGGGACCCCCTTTGAAAACATTTTAGGCTCCGACAACCACCTCCCTCCATACCATGCCACCATTACTTCTTTGCTGCTGCTGGCAACAGTGCTGCCTTCAGAGCTGGTCGCCCGGCCAATAGCTGCCACTCTCCGGCTGCCCAGCTCTGAAGGCAGCACAGAAGTAAGGGTGGCAATACTGTGACCCCCCTACAAAAGGCTTGTGACCCCCTTTTGGGTCAAGACTCCAGTTTGAGAAATGCTGATTTACTAGCTTAAACAAGATTTGGTCATTGAAAATCTAATTTATAGACCAAACTACAAATCTTGAACCCAAATGTTATTTCTCTCATAACATATGGATGTGAAAGCTGGAAATCCACCAAAGGTACAGGGAGACAGACATTTAAGTGCCTTAGAAGCAAATGGCTGAGGAAAATACTAAGCATTAAGTGGAACAAATTTATACCAAAATGCTGAGATTCATCAGAGAGTTTAACAACACTTTATCTCTAAAGTTACCCAGGAAGATGATGGAAATACCCAGGACATGTATTAATAATGAAGCCAGAGCGTCTGCTGTGGAGAAACATGTTAAAGTGGCAGCAATCCAGGGGAAGGGATGGGGGTCCCACGGCACTATGCTAGTAAATGTCCAATAGAGAACAACCCTGCCCTGGCCCCTAAGAGATGGACTGGATGGGACCTCTGGACCTGACTCCATAGGCTGCCCCCTCCTGCCCTGAAAGCTGCCATCTCTGTGGCTTACGGGCACCAGCCCTTAAACCACTGTGGCATTTCTGCAGAGACAGGATGCTGCAGGGAAGGGGGCCAGGCTGGCTCCCATGAGCTCTCAGCTGTCTTGTTCTCTGTGACCCTAGGAACTCTCAGACAGCAGGGAGAGCAGTTTGTCTGGCTGCGGCACCTAAACCACTGTGTCCAACCTGGAGCATTCAGTCTTCCTCTTACAGAATCTGGAGTCTGTAAGTCCCAGTGCCCTGCAGTCTTGCTGACAGACAGACCCCTCCGCCCCACTGCAGGGAGTGGTTGTTTGAAGGCTCATGTTCCCCCAATACCAACCCCTAATTCCAGTTCTGTGTCTGGGTTACATCCAGCTGATGTTAACACATGCTCCTGTCTGCCTTCCAATACAAGCATTGTTAACTCCTAGGTTATACCAAGGCTTGGCACAAGCAGAAATGCCAGGCATTGAACAGCTAGGACTTTTCGGTCCGTTCCAGTATCACCCCAGCCAAGCACTGCACCCCGGACCCAGAAACCTCTCCCAGACGCTCCTCACTGTCTGGACAATGGTCCCACTCCCCTTCCCTACATCAGCTCAGACTAAGTGGTATTACAAAACAGTACCTTTGGTCCCGTTTCTTCCTATGGCCTGGCTGCTGCCGGGAGGGAGAGAGAGATGGGGGTCCCCCATAGGACATGGATGATGAGACGTTAACAGTGAACATTGCTGTGCTGCGCGCTCTGCCTGCGGTTTCCCTGCCTGGTTCTTGCTCCCCAACTGGGACGCGTGCGAGGAACAGGAATGTTCTGAATGCTCTCAGCTGTCAACCCCCTGCTCTGTTTATCTCTGCCTTCTCTCTCCTAGGGCTGCTGCAGGACACGCATCTTCTTCACCCGCACTCAGCTATTGAAAGGACACAGACTTCAGCACTTACTTCACTCTGCTTAGACCTTATAGACTTAACCCATTCTTGCCCTCGCAGGCAAAGCCAGTATCATCCAAGCCAAGGTGCGGAACAAAGGATAAGTTGTCAAGTTTACTTTGTATACTTGGAATATTCTCCAATAACAGACCCTGGCTCGTGTTAACCTCTCCCACCAGCACTGACACTAGGCCCCTCAGTAGCACCTTCCCCTAGAATACAGAAGTGCAATGGCATCAAAATGCTAATCAAACTCCATAGTATTTCCTGGGTGTGATTCTTCAAAAATGCAGATGCAGTTGGGGCCAAATCAGCATGCAGTAACAGAGTGCAAGGGGGCAGATACACTGCTCACTGATACAGGCAAAAACACTTGATTCATGTCAACTAACAGCCTCTGACTGTTCACCTAGAGCACTGCTCACACAGTCAGCTGACGGGGCACTCTGATACTGATGGGAGGACTGGCTGCTGCCCATCCAGGCAGATCAGGAGAACAGACAACACAATTCTATCTGCTGCCCTACCACATAGCTGTGTGCACAAGAGGCTCAGTGTGCAGGGAGCCCCCACACCTCATCATCAATACAATAACCCTGCATTAGAAGAAACCATCAGATTAAATGATCGTATTCAGACCCTACTACTCTCTGAACATCTGACAAAAGAGAACATTACCCTCATGTGGTTCTGCAGAAGAGCGGGGAACAGGGGACAGCTCTTTACACAGCCATGGCCTCTTCTGCATGGAGTGACTCACCCACATGAGGCTGGAATGAGACAGCACCAAAATCATGGCCCCTTTTATTCAAATCAGGATTGGCCCCAAATATTGGGGTGGGGGGTGGGTGGTGACCAGTACCCTGCCTTGTGCTAGCCCTGCATGGCTGGACTCGTGTCCTTTGTGTTCAGCATCGCTCTCTGGACTGTCTAGATCAGGCTAGGACTCAAGGAAAGGAACCAGGTTTTAATTTGGTTTAGCACAGGTCCACCCAAAAAGGTTTCTAATGTGGTCTGGGCAGCCTGTGGTTAGCCACACCTCAGACTAGACAGGACTCAACTAGATGAGGCTAGCAGTGTTCTGACATGGTGTGGCCCCATCCCCACTGACTGGCCAGATCAGGGCAGCACCTTTAACCCTGCTTCCCTAGCTGTGTTTGAACCACTCTGTGGATGCAGGTCTGGGTGCATTTCCTCTCAGTTGCTCCCCTTCCCTCTTGGCTTTGGAAGCCACATCTGAAGTGTCTGCCTGGAGTAATGGATGGCAGCTGCCTAATGTAAACGCTTTGTCCCCGCAAAGGCACGGACACAGAATGATCTCAGCCAAATCCTACGGAAACGTCACGTGGCTGGCAGCACGGGGGCCTGGAGGGGTTAGTTTGTAAATAGGCGAATGACTTGGCCAAGAGCTCCAGGAGCAAATCCCCACCCCAAAAGGGGACATCACTCACTCATAGCTGTGGTGCATTGTAAAGCAGGCTGCAGGTGGCGTGATCTCACTTCAGCATACCTTCATGGTAGACAGAAGCTCACTGCCAGCCCCTGACACGCAGATTTCCTTTGCAGAGTGTGCTGAAGTCCTCACCCTATGGCAGCTAGAAGCAGGCAGACAGCTCTCCTGTTTCATCCCGATTTTGAATGAAAGAAAACAAAGGCCCAGCCCCAGAGCAGCTGTGTGGTTCCTGGGCCCCTTCCTCCAGTCACACTCAGACCCATGCTGAGTGCCTCTCCTCAGGCATGACAAACAGCCAGTTCTGCCCTGGGATCCACAGTCACATTCCAGGGCAGAAGGAGGTGGCTATGCAGCCCACACAGACTCCTCACTCTCCCCAGTTGGTGTCCCACTCTAGGCAGCCCTTTCCTCTCCAGGATTGAATGCACTAGAAGAGCTATTCTCCATACTGGCGCACAGGGTGAGTCCCCTGCACCATAATAACCTGCAATTCACACGCACCATGCCTTAAGGGTGTCAGGACACAGTACTGCCTGGAGGCGCCATTGTTCCTCACAACAGACCATGGTCTTTCACAGCTGGAGTTTCCCCATGTGTCTCCTGTATTACAATGCAAGGAAGACCTTGGCTCGGACCCTCAAGCCAGACTTTAGCATTTTTGCAACAACAGCTACAAGAGAGGTTACCCGGTGATCTGAGGCAGGTTTGCTAAGGAGATTGTGCTACGGCTTCTGCTGTTGTTGAAGGAAGCTGCAATGTCACTACAGTCTGATCTTGTTTCTTGTTCACCAACATCAGCAGGGAAACCCATCTAGGGTTATATCAGAGACCTGCTCTGCTTCCTTGGACCTTGGAAAGGCCTCTCTATACTCCTCCTTTGTGGTCCCCAGCGCTCTCACATCTACACACAGCTTGACCTCCTGGAATCACAACGGCCACTGCTACAGCAGGACAGCACTGACGGCCTGGAGCTTTGAGCCATGACTGAGCCCAGCGAAGAGTTCTGTCCCCAGTGAAAAGCCCTTGGCTCTCTGGCTTTGCAAAGAGAACAGAAAGAGCACAGTGCTGGGTCTGAAAGCTGTGCCTATACAAAGGGGATCTCCTGGGCTTCGTACAGCTCTCCTTCTGTTGTCTCCAATGCAAAACAGAAGGAAAACACAAGAACATTCTGCATCAGCCCAGTGGTCCAATCAGTCCTGTATCCTGTCTCCACCAGTGACCAGCTCCAGACAATTCGGAGAAAGACAGAACAAGATCTCATCAAAGGGTGCACTACAAGAACCTGGGAAGAACAGGATAAAGCCCCAAAGAACTAAGCCTCTTATTCTACCCAACTGATCTCAGTGATGATTCACCCCTTCTCTTCTCTTACACTCAGTTGGAAGTCGGATGCAATTCATGAGTAGGACATTGCAGCATTAACGCCCCGACCCTCATTTCAAACAAAGTGCAGTGGGCTCGTTAATGCTACCGAAAGGCCAGGACTTGGATGCTATGCCGCACCCCACCCACCAAAACCCCCACTGCCTTCGGCAGTAGAGCACCCGCCAGCAGCATGGTGGGCACTGAGGTCCGCACTAACTGTAGGAGCAATGGCTCTTCCTGAATCAACCCTCCTCCTGCAGCGCAGCCCCAAGTAGGGAAAGGGGCTCAGTGCTGATTCAGCGGAACGGCTGGCTACCAGAGACCCCAGCTGCCCTCTGGGCTAGAGGTGACTGCTGGTCACGCAGCAGTAAAACGCATGTGGAGACTGCTCCGGCTCCAGCACAGGGCACGGAGTGTGTCAAGGTGTTTTGCTGCACGTGGTACAGGAGGATGAGGGAGACAGAGGAAACAAACAGAAAGGCATGAGGTCCTTTCCACTACTTGAGTTGCTGTTTGGTCTGTACCCAGATAGAACTTCTCCAGCAAATGATCCCCCACCCCGGTCCCCCGGCCTATCGAGTGCATAGATTTCCATTACGGCTATCTTCCCTTCCCGCCCGAGTGAAGCTGGCCTAGCCGAGGACGGCAGAGCCCACCACACAACAAATCAGAGACTGGAGAATACAGCAGCAGCCAGCGCTGGCCTGTCATTCCTGTTAGACACGGCTCCCCCCAGCCACCCTGGCCTCTCTGCCTTGATGGCTCCTGGGCAGCAGCATCCTCTAGCGGCCAGTCACTGGCACTGCATCACAAACAACGGCCCAGTCACTGCTTCTTCATGCCCAGTCCATGCTTAAGGGTCTAGAGGGGAGAGGATGGAGGGGAGGGGCTGCTTTAACCCTGTCTGCCCACATGAATGTGCGTCTGACACAGAAAGGCCCAACAGTAATGGGCTGAATGTGCATGATACACTACACGCCTCCAGTCACAGCCCCCAGGGTTACGGCTGCCAGGGGCAGGGGAGCTAGGGCGGCAGCGTACGGCAGACCTTGGTTACGGGGACAGAAGTGCACGTTCAGGGCAATGCGGAGGGACTTAACTACTTGACTGCACTTGAACTCCACACTGCCCTGGACACACAGGAGCTCCTGTTCAGGGAGAGAAAATAAAGCAGGGACAGAACCCAGCCCCCTCGGCCCAAGTGACAGGGCCCAGCGACAGCACAGGGCCGCAAAGGGGGTCCCAGGCTGTCACCCCAACGCCCACCCTGAGCCGGTCCCAACCCTGCCGTCACCCCAACGCCCACCCTGAGCCGGTCCCAACCCTGCCGTCACCCCAACCCCCACCCTGAGCCGGTCCCAACCCTGCCGTCACCCCAACCCCCACCCTGAGCCGGTCCCAACCCTGCCGTCACCCCAACGCCCACCCTGAGCCGGTCCTAACCCTGCCGTCACCCCAACCCTAAAGCCAATTGTAGCCCTGCTGTTATCAAACGCTAAAAGTCAGCTCTAACTGTGAACCAACCCCAGCTGTCTGCTAAAGACGGAAAGTAGCAAATCACACTAACAGTGACTAAAGCCCTTTGTCTTTCTCTGCCCCAAAGAGCTTTGTGTCCTACTTCACACTCACCCAAGACCTATTTCTGCTCCTTGCTCCACCGAGAGAGAGGCAAGATCTGGCACCACTTAGGAACCAAATTGAATTGCTCTGTATATGATGTTAATGATGAGCGAGGAACCTCAGAGTGACATGCAGGAAGCGGGAGAACTCAGAGCATTGGCAGAATCCCTGCTGCATGAACAGTTTGAAATGAACAGATGGAAGAGGAGCCAGGACTCTCAAAGCAGAAACGCATGCATGGCCCAGGATGAAGAGATGTACTTGGGCTGCCAACGTTTTTCCACTGCTATCATCCTGAAGGACCTCAGCATCATCTCCAGAGGTTTTGGTGCATTGGTGGGGAGCATCCCTGGGCTCTGAGCAGGGGGAACGGCCTGAATTGCCTGTGTGGGATTCCACCATAAATGTGACTTGCCTTAACTGGATTTGTAATGAGCAAAGGAAATGAAAACCAAAGAATCACAAATGTAGGAGCACTTAAGTCTCAAAAGAGTTCAAAAAGAGGAGCAGAGGGGGCAAAGGGGCATGGGAGGGACATGGGGAATGGGGTCAGAGCCACTGAAATGATCTCTCTAGCTTGGTGCTTATCCCCATGGTATCTATGCATCAAAATCAAGAGGGAGACTCAGGATTTCCACAGGCCTGAGGGAGCAGAATCTGTCCCAGGGACTTTTAAAGAACGCTAAACCCCCTAACAAATAGGGGTTTTGTGCTGGCACCTGCTGCAAGGAAGCTCAGCACCTGTGGCCCTAGGACTGGGGACGGATTCACTAGGTCAATAAATATTGCCACTCCACCTACAGATCCTTTGGAAAAGAAGGGAGGGGGAGAGAGAGAGATAGAGAGAGAGAGAGAGAAGGGATTTGAGGGGGGAGGGGGATCTCCCAGAGCTTTTTCTCTGAGCGGTCTCTACCCTCAGGCCCTTGCTCACCTGGTGAAGTCCTCCTCCCCAATCATATGTCGAGGGATGGGCGAGTACCTAGATGGGGTCGCCTGTGGCGGGGCTGAGTAGGGGGGTTTGTTCTCAACACTGCCGAGGTAACCCAGACTGGTGTTATGGCTTATGTGGTTATCGGCCAAGGCTGAGAAGGCTGCAGAGAAGGAAAAGACAAAATCAGGAGCAGAAGTCCTGGGCCCGGCTGCTCTGGTCTACAACTAGGGAGCACGAGCCCTGTGTTCCCATTGCTAGCACGCATTTCCCTCCAGTGCCCCGCACCCTGTGGGGCTCCCCACCTCCCAACACCCTCCCATCCCCTTTCACGCTCTCACATGCCCCTCTCCCTTCGGCCCTGCTATTCAACCCCCACGTCCTTCCCCAAGGGTTCTTGTGGCACTGCGGCACAGCTGTGCTCTCCTGGGAGCCGGGCTGAGGCTGGCAGGCTGGCGTACGTACTGCTGGCATAGTCGGGGGGCGCGTACATGTCGTTGAGGTGGACGTTGCCAGGCTTGGCCACTTTCAGGTACACCATGTCGGAGGTGTTCTTCAGAGAGGCCACCGCCTCCTCGTGCCGCACGTCCTGCAGGTTCGTGTTATTCACCTGCAAGAGAGGGGCCGGGGCAGTGAGGGAGACAGAGGAAACAAACAGAAAGGCATGAGGTCCTTTCCACTACTTGAGTTGCTGTTTGGTCTCTACCCAGATAGAACTTCTCGAGCAAATGATCCCCCACCCCGGTCTCCCTGGCCTAACGAGTGCATAGCTTTCCATTACTGCTGTCTTCCCTGGGATTCCAGGGATTGGTCCTGCTTTGAGCAGGGGGTAGGACTAGATGACCTCCTGAGGTCCCTTCTAACCCTGATATTCTATGATTCTATGAGAGGCAGAGGAGGGGTCAGGGAGGAGATAAAGGACTGGGTTCAAACGATCCCGGTTTTGTTTCATTGCTACATCCCGGTGAAGTGGGATGTGACGTGTCTCCAAGTGGCGTTTCAATAGCATGTGCTGGGTTGCATCTCAGCTGCAGAAACAGCTAGAGACTGATTCCCAGACCGCATGCAACAAGTACAGCCATTCACCAGCCCTTTCAAACACGGCTGTTGGCAGCGTTGTTGCAGCCGCGTTGGTCCCAGGTATCTCTTGTGGGACTAATTTCTTTTGGAGGGACAGCTTCGAGCTTCACAGAGCTTCACAGAGCTCTTCCTCAGGTCTGGAGAAGGCAACCAGCATGTCCAAGTTAAACATAAGACATGCTGTAGGAGACCACTTAAAGTGAAGTGGGCTATTAAGGGTTAGTGAGCAGAAGGGTGTGTTAAAATGGTTGTAATGAGCCATAAAACCAGTGTCTCTGTTAAGACCATGGTTTTTAGTGTCCAGCCGAGTTCTGAATGGAAGTTACCAACCTCGTCTCTAGAAAGCATTGTGCAGGCTTCCTATGAGGACCAGGACTGGGAGATCAGATACTGAGTGATCCCTTTGAGAAAAGTGTTCACCCATGGGTGACAGGGTGTTTTTGTCTTAAGACTGCCTAAACCTTTCTTTGGGGTATCATCAAATGATTACAACTCAGACTTGATGGGGACCGCATCCTTAAAAAATTATTTCCTGAATCCCCTTTTCTAGCCTTCAAACAACCCCCAGCCTCGCCTGGCTCATCATCAGAAGCAAGCTCCACACAGACCAGGAGACGCCAACTCAAAGCAAGCTCCAGACCCTGCCAGAACAACAGATGCAAAACCTGCAGACACAGCTCTGCTGATACAATGATCAACACCCCCCACAACACACCTTTCAGGATCCATGGGTCTACACAAGCCTATCGCAACGTGTGGTGTACCTCATCCAATGCACTCAATGCCCCAATGACAACAATGTGGGTGAAACCCGACAATCACTATGCTCTCGAATGAACTCATAAAGAAAAATAAGACAAAAACAGCCGGTCACCCATGGGTGAACACTTTTCTCAAAGGGATCACTCGGTATCCGACTTCCCAGTCCTGGTCCTCACAGGAAACCTGCACAATGCCTTCTAGAGATGAGGCTGAGAACTTCCATTCAGAACTCGGCTGGACACTAAAAACCATGGTCTTAACAGAGACACTGGTTTTATGGCTCATTACAACCATTTTAACACACCCTTCTGCCCACTAACCGTAACTGCCCACTTCACTTGCAGTGGTCTCCTACAGCATGCGTGAACCGCTTATGCTTAACAATCTGTCCCACCTTGTGTTTAGCTTGGACATACTGGTTGCCTTCTCCAGACCCGAGGAAGAGTCTGTGAAGCTTGACAGCTTGTCCCTTCCTCTAACGGAAGTCGGGCTACTTACCTTGTCCCTCTTTTACATACGGGGTATTTGTTTATCTTCATGACACAGAAACTCCTCCTTACAGTGCCAGTTATACCCTCTCCAGGTCTGCATGTCACTCATTTCACTGCACCACGCAGCCACTATCCCAAAATATAGGAACATGATCATCCTTTGTTTATTCAGTGTCCAAAGTGCGGTCCCTTCCCAGCCATAGGGAGCTGTGGGAATCCCTGACTTCAGTGCACATCAAATCTCAGGCATGTCATTAATGTCATATTTGGGAATTCACTCAGGGCCCCCGGCCCCAGCCCTGCCGGGACATTCACCTTGTCAGCAAACAGTGATAGTAACAACCGGGAACAATCCTACATCCAGCAGGCCACATTCACCAGTTCACTCAGGCTGCTCTGTGTCACCCTGGTGATGCAAAGCAGCCACTACCCACTGGTCTGTTCTGGGACAAGCTCTCCCCTGTCCCTTCTCCATTGCCCTGATAGGAATCCAGCTGGTGGGACTTTGTCATTATGGCAATCTAATGATCAGGGAGTGCAAACTAGCAACTCCTGCTCATTGCCCACTGGGGCGCACTGATATAACCCTGGGTGCCCAGGCCTTGGGAAGGAGAGCTAGTGGGGAGAAAGGGCACTGGAGCAATGGAAAGCCTAGGCTGTATATGGAGCAAGAGCCAGTGCTGGGCAGAGAGAGCTTTAGAGCAGATACCTCACAGAGACCTGGCATCCCCACCTCCCTCTGTCGCTCTCTAGAGCCCAGAGGAAGGTGCGTGCGCTCACCGCCAGCAGCCGGTCCCCGATCTGCAGCCGGCCATCCTTCTGGGCAGCCCCTCCCTCAATGATCTTGGTGATGTAGATGCTGTTGTCTCCTGGGATGTGCTGGTTTCCGATTCCACCTGCGATGCTGAAGCCTAGTCCTGAGGGGAACACAAGAGGCAATGAGAGGAGACTGAAGAGCCACTAGATGGTGAGTGGAACACACCTGCCTGGGGACACAGGGAATTTAGAACGCCAATGGGTCGCTCACCTTGCTCCTCCGCCCACGCTCTCATGCAGCTCCTCCTGTTGGTGGCCTGTTACTTGGGCTTCGCTAAGCACATGGAGCAGATGGAGAGGATGGTGGCCTCTGGTCCCTGAGCAATCAGGGACATATGGAGAGGCCAGTACGCTCTGACTACCAACTGTTGCTATAACCACACATCTGTTCAACTGGCGCAGGGAACCCTGTGCTGCCCAGATCCTGACCCATGATTTCCCAGGCCCCACACAGCTTGCTGCTCCCCTCAGTCCCGACCCACCGCCTCCCCAGGCCATTTATGTCCCAGTCACAGGGGCTGGGTTAGGCTACCGCAGTCATTTAAGAGATTTCACCTTTGGGTCCTTTCATCAGGTTAACTTCCATTATAGTCTCAGGTGGGGGCTGCCTCCGACGCACCACAAGTCGAACCACCGGGCCTGCTTCCTTCAGTGCCTCCACTGCCTTGCTGTGCACCACCTCAGAGACATCCACCTCGTTCACCCGCAGGACGCAGTCGTTCACCCTGCAAGCAGCAGACGCATCATTGGCTGGCCCCCTGGCTGCTCTCATTACGGTGTTTAGACAGCTCTTGCCTCAAGTCTCTGGAGAATCTCCTGGGAGTTCCCCTGAATTCACGGTCCTTCAGTCTCCTCTGACCCCGCCACACCTTGGCCTAGGCCACAAATCTCCATCCAGACCCCCGTGAACTTCACTGAGAACACAGTTCTCTCTCCTTCCATCCAACTGAGCCCCAGAGATGCTGAATCAGGACACTGAGCTTGTGGACAGGACTACAGTACAGACATTCTCATGCCAGGCCCAGCCGCTTAACAGGAGTGGGTGGAGAGGGGCCTGTGATGGGGTGTTCACCCCACACTTGCTCCAAAGGGGTTAATGGAAGACAGGTGGGCCAATTAACCTATCAGGCTGAGAAGAAAGCCCTGATTAGGGGAAGCTCACCTGTGGGGGAGCAGGGAGGGCTTCTAGAAAGCGAGGTAGTTGACAGCAGAGAGGGGCTGCAGGGAAGCAGTTTGCAGTCACTCCCTGGGGGGAGGGAGTTAGGGCTGGCACACCTGGTGTGGGGAGCCAGAAGGGGCAGGAAAGTCTCAGCGAAAAGGCAGCAAGGCTCAGGATGGTGCAGACCTTGGCTGCTGATCGGATGGTCCCTGAGCTGGAATCCGGGGAGAGGGCAGGCGCGGGTTCCACTGGGGAAGTGGCACCATGGGGCAGTGAATGGGAAGACTGCCTAAACCTGCTGGTAAGGAAAGACTTTGATGCCCTGGAAGGGGAAGACAGGCGTAGAGACCTGAGCCAGAGAGAGAGGGAGAGAGCGAGCGGCTGCAGGGTGTGCAGTGAGCAGCAGAAGGGGGCCTCAGACCTGGAAAGAGCTAATCCCCAGAGCAGCCATGAGGAGGCGCCACCTGCAGTGAGTGGGGGATCCTGTGGGAAGGGGATCCTTCAGCATGACTGAGGGGTGAGAGAGACCCCCTCAGCTGGGGGAGGGGGAAGCATGGCAGATCCCTGACACGGACAGAGGGGACAGGGGGTCTGACGACTCATTGGTGGTAAAGGGGGAGATAAAGAGAATAAGCAAAGAAACCAGTCCCCAAATTCTCTTGTCCCAAATCACCCACAACATGGCCCATCACCCCATTCTCCCCACGAGGGATTCATCCCCTCTTCTTGTCCTCCCAGCACCACCGCTACTCAACAGCGCCGCACACACAGACCTCTGACGATGCCTCCCAGTTTCAACCTGCAGCTCCCGGCTTCCCCACAGCGCCCCAGAGCCCCCCAGTCCTGACACATAGGCTCCCTGCTGTTCCTGGCAGGAGTCTCCCCTGAGGAGATGTGAACAAATTCTCTGACGAACAGCCTTCCAAGGGAAGCAGTGGGGGGCAAAAGATCTATCTGGCTTCAAGATTAAGCTCGATAAGTGTATGGAGGAGATGGTATGATGGGATAACATGATTTGGCAATTAATTGATCTTTGACTATTAGTGGTAAATAGGCCCAATGGCCTGTGATGCGATGTTAGATGGGGTGGGATCTGAGTTACTACAGAGAATTCTTTCCTGGGTATCTGGCTGGTGAGTCTTGCCCACAAGCTCAGGGTTCAGCTGATCGCCATATTTGGGGTCGGGAAGGAATTTTCCTCCAGGGCAGATTGGCAGAGGCCCTGGGGGGTTTTCACCTTCCCCTGCAGCTTGGGGCACGAGTCACTTGCTGGAGGATTCTCTGCACCTTGAAGTGTTTAAACCATGATTTGAGGACTTCAATAGCTCAGACAGAGGTGAGAGGTTTGTTACAGGAGTGGGTGGGTGAGATTCTGTGGCCTGCGTTGTGCAGGTCAGACTAGATGATCATAATGGTCCCTTCTGACCTTAAGGTCTATGAGACTCAGCTGAGACTCGCCAACTCACTGCATGGGGAAGCCAGTTCCGCATGGCTGGAAAGCCGTGCGTACTAACCCTGTGCTTCAAGTCTGCCTATCTGCTGGGCTTGGTTGAAAGCGAGCGCCAGGAACACCGACCTGTGCAGCATTAAAGCCACATCGAGCTGCTGCCACGTGACCCTACTGCATCGTGCTCAGGCCAGGACAGCAGTTTTCGGGTACTCACCCTAGGCGGCCATCCATCGCTGCAGCTCCACCAGGGATGATTTTCGTGATAAAAATCCCTGGATCATCAGGAACATGGGGATTATCAATTCCCCCTGCAATGCTGAAGCCAAGGCCGGAGTTACCCTGGGGAAAAGCAAAACACAGGGAGCCTTTCTGAGGAGGGAACTTGCTCCCTTGGTGCTTGTACACGCCCCAGGCCAGAGGCTGAATTAGGGCACTGCCCTCCCCGCTCTGATGGTGCCATGCCAGCGAACCCCTCCCAGACCAGCAACTCTCAGGATGGCACAGTCGCGCTTGCAGAATCTGGGTTCATCCAGGTCCCCCTGGCTCTCAGGCAGGCTGAGAGGACAGTGGTTTACAGAGGCTCATGTACGCGACCTGAGGTGTGCGGATACTCCAGCAAGGCGTGCTGAGAAGGTGGAGCAGCAGAATGGGAGACGCTCAGAGCCAGAGCTCTCCCTCCCAGGAGCCGTGTGTCTGCTGACAGCCTGAGCCGGGGTAAAGCTACCACCAGTGCCAGCTTCCAAGGAGTAGATCCCAGTACCTGCCAGGGGAGAGAACCACGGCTTGTGCTGGTACCAACATGTCTGATCCGATGACACGGGGAATCTCCTGTGCCTCCCAGGAGAGAACACCTGCACAGGGGCTCGGCCCAGAGCCAGTGCTAGGCAAGAGGGTTTTAGAGCAGAAACCTCACAGCGACCTCCCTGCCTCCCTCTGTTGCTCTCTCGAGCCCAGAGGAAAGTGTGTGCGCTCCCTGAAGAACTCCAGAAATGCGATTTTTGGACTCTGATTCTCTCAGATGCACCAGTTTACACTGAGGTAACTACTGACTTCAGCAAAGTTATTCCTGTGGCACACTGGTGCGAACAGGTGGAGAACAGGCCCCCGGTCTCTGTGTCGGAGTAGGAATTACAGAGAACGCTGGAATGGCCAGGTGAACACACAGATCTATTATGGGCCTGGGACAAGAGAGCGGCGGACAGTGCAGAATCACGTTATGTAGGGTCCTCTTTTCTGACACACTGAAACTAAGTGACTTGGGCATTGTCCTTTCTTGGTGAGAAACCATGCGGGCGATGCTGACCATCCAACTGGGGTTCTTACGCCGCACCCCTCCCTGCCATATCCTAGTGCCTAAGGCATCTGCTGCCCATACCCCATCCCTCTGTCAAAAGCCCAGCAGCATGGCTCTTGTTTGCAGCGGCCTTGTTTAGTGACAGGACTTCGGATTAAGTTTCTATTCTCCTACACAGGGTTGAAGTGGACAAGACCACCTTGTTTTGCTGTTCTGCCTTAGAAAAGCGTATTTTCTCCTTGTCTCCTCACACAGAAAGGCTGACATCTTGTCTCACCCTCTCATGAATTTCTCACAAGGGAGACCTTGGACTCTGGGTCACCTCTGTGGCCCAGGACCCGAGAGAACTGAGGCTATCAATGCGGTGATTGTGTGCTTAGCTCCTCAGATGGATCCCATCAATGTCAGACAAGCACTGGCATTGTCTGCTAGAGGTCTCTCTTTAAACAGCTGGGCTTGAAGAATCACTTGTGAAGAGACCTGGTGAGATAGACAAGAACACTCAAGAGGACTAGATAGATCCTTTTCTGGGGAATGCCAATAAGCCAAGAAACGTAAGGTGGAATAGGGCCCAGGGTTTTGAATACAACCCCGTAGCTGAGAGTTTGCAAACCGCTGCCTGGAGATTCCATGAGCTGTACCAGTTGCTCTTTAGTTTTCATGATGTGGTCCTCCGAGACTCTTCTTCTTCTCCCCACTGTAAACAACTGGGTTCATCCAATGTATCAGCTCTTCAAACATGCAGTGAACACTTCTATGACATTACAACAAACCCATCATATGGATTGTTTAGTCTGCAGAAGAGAAGAGTGAGGGGGCATTTGATAGCAACCTTCAACTACCTGAAGGAGGGTTCCAAAGAGGATGGAGCTCAACTATTCTCAGTGGTGACAGATGACAGAACAAGGAGTACTGGTCTCAAGTTGCAGTGGGGGAGGTTAGGTTGGATATTAGGAAACACTATTTCATTAGGGGGGTGGTGAAGCACTGGAATGGGTTACCTAGGGAGGTGGTGGAATCTCCATCCTTTAGAGGTTTTTAAGGCCTAGCTTGACAAAGCCCTGGCTGGGATGATTGAGCTGGGGTTGGTCCTGTTTTGAGCAGGGGGTTGGACTAGATGACCTCCTAAGTTCTCTTCCAACCCTAACCTTCTATGTTTCTTCTATGATTTAACATGTTCAAAGCACTATAGAGACATTGTCTCAAAACAGCCCTGAGGTAAGTGTCCATACCATGACTACCCCATTTCCCAGATGAAGAAACTAAGACATCGAGAAACAAAGTGAATTGGCCAAGCTCACACGGTGAATCCGTTTGAAAACTACACAAGATGCTGGAGAAAAACCAAAAGCAATGACTGCTTCTGTGCAGCATGAATAGAAGGAATCCAACATGAGTTGGCTGATTGAGGTATGCAACCTATGAACGACAGGTGATCTAGCAATCTCATGGATTATAAAATTGAGATTTTCCAATAAAATTTGGCTTTTCTTAGCCCATCTGACTGAGGGAGATCAATCCAAAACTGAACAAACTCCTCTTGTTCATGTGGGTATCATCCTACACTGAGAATAGAAGCTGCAAAATCTGTTACCCTGGAAAAGGTTAATCTCTTCCATACATTGTAGATTTTCTAGACCAATTTAAAAGGCACTCTTTTTCCCCTTGGCTTGCAGAGAGATGTTGGGGGGAGAGCAGCTGAATTCTATACAATAACATTTGCATAGGATCTCCAGTTATTTGTAGGATTTCAAGGTAGTGCAGGAGGTGTTGAAATGTTCCTCCCCACTGTGCTCTGAAAGGCTCCCGGTTGCTGTTCTGTGGGCTGGAAACTGGCTCTGACGAGCAGGCACATGACAGGTAACCTTTGGTTCCAGAAGAATAAAAGCTGCGTCTCCTGCTGTGGGGTTACCCTCCCTCCTTTTGGCTGACTTCCAGCAGCTTTATGGTCAGTCTTGGAAAAGCTGCAGAGTGCTTTACTAGCCCCTGGAGCCTCCTTCATTGCCGTCTTGAGTCCATTCCCCAGGGAAGCTGTGCTAGTAAAGGAGAAGGCTGCTCTAAGGTATAGGATCATTGTCCCAGGACTTGAACCATTAATTGTCTAACTATGGCGGGGCAACCCATGCTGTGAGCTGAGAACTTGGCTCCAATAAAATCTTAGAGCCATTTCACTTCCCTTTGGTAGCCTACACAAGAGCAGGCACAGAGAACTCTCCGAGGGGCTGCAGGCTTGCTGTTTAGAGAGAGATTTTTAACCTCACTAAACGAGCTCCCGTCCTCCCGTGGCTATTGCTGGAGTAGCGGTGCCCACCATGGGGCTCACGCCGCCGCGTGTCAGGGACTTCTTGTGAACAGGACTGAGCAATACTCAGTAAATCCTGGGTAAGCCAGGGCAGGGTCTGCCCTTCGGTCTCTAGAACCTACGGAGAAACTCACCTCCTGCTGTGCTCTGACCTGGCTGCAGCTTCTGAAGCAGCCAGCCTAGTACAAGAATAGCTTAGAGTGACAGCGATCAGCACGCGAGGTCAGCAATAGGTGGTGCCCGGGGCTAGGTCCGAATCCGGCAGAACAGGGCAGTCTTCTCGCTAGCTACGGGTGCCAAGGAGTGCTTGTCACACCCTGGGTTATCTGGGTTTCCAACTGCACTGCAGGTCCAGGAGGCCACCAGAGCTGTGGACTGTCTTCCTGGTGGGAGGGCGGATGGCTCACTGGAGGAAACTGTAGAGGCAGAGAGTTCCAGGTACCTCCCTCTCCCGACCAGCACCACCCATGCGTCTCCAGGACTAAGCTTTGGCCATTTGCTGATCTCGCCAGGCCCCTGGAGCGCTGGGGTTATTTGTCTGCTGTGAAGGGGATGTAAAGCTGCTGTCGCCTCCCTGTGGCTGGCACCTCAGTCCACACTGTTCATAATCTCCTCGAGTGGCTTCTCACAGCTGTTGGAAAGACAGAAGGATCTTTGTGGGGCTCCGTGGATGGGGGCTCGGGAGATGTAGGAGCAGGTGCCCTTCGTGACCCCCTGTGCAGCTGGAGAGGAACAAGCGACCTGATCTCAGTGCGATCCTGCTTGCCCCTGCCATGTCTCTGAGGTGAGACAGCAGCATTCCAGGGACAACTGTGTGGAATGCTATGGAGAGGCTCCACAATGCATGGGGGTCTGACCCCTTCTCTGAGCGTGGCCAAGAATGGGCAGTAGTCAGTCCAGGAAAAGGGGGGGTTTCTTGTGCTCCATACAGCTCCATCCAAACTGACAATCTGACAAAAATGGCACTCAGAGCGATAACACCTGCTGATCTGCACGAGGGCTTGTATGCCCCAGGGGCTGCTAAACTGTGCTGGGCTCTTAGGGGCCTGCAGAGTCTGTCGCTCCCCCCAGTGAGAAAGGTGCTTCCTAGATTTCTGCAATGGTGGAGGAGGGGGAAATCACCTCAGACCTGTCCTACTTACTGTACTGTGTACAGTACTGCTCCACTTTGGAGCCTAACTCCAGTGTAATCGGGAGTGCCACTACCTACATCCACGCAGCTCGCTCCCGAGCCACAAAGCGCTGCGGAAGCGTGGGTGGATGGAGGCTCCGTCCCTGGATAACCCTGCACGATACAAAGCAGAGGAGAAGAGGGAGACGTCTGTAGGCCAAGAAAAGCAGAGTTACAAGGTTTGTCTTCCTCTGCTATGGACGCACGGGGGCGTAGCTCGGCAACGCAGGAAATTGGTCACTGCCGTAGGCAGCCCTGGAATAGCCTCTGGCCTTGCTGGATCTACCAGCTGAAGAGACCAATACAAGTTCTCCAAGGTGATTATGTTTCCAGAGGACTCAAAATGGGATTTGCCTTGGCACCTGTGCGAATTAGTGTCGCTCTGCTCGTGTTAGGGTGCCCCTGTGCGCATCCCTCATGAGAAGTGGTGGAGCAGGGAAGTCAAGGTCTCTATTCATGAGAATAACCAGAGGGTATCCCTTTACCCTGGAGTCAGCTGGATACCCACCTGCAAGAAAATCTCACTGTCCTCTCACTATTGAGGTGTGAACCCCAGCCAAGCCCGGACACACAGTTCACTGGGACTGCCTGGGCCCATGGGCTGAAACCCACATAGCTGCTGTTGCCAGTAGGTGCCGTGCAAACGAAACAATGGCCATAAAGCTGTTGCTGTCCTGGCCAGCCTGAGCCTGGCATTCACCAGCTTTACCACAGAGCCAGGAGTGGCTTCCCAGTCTGTGTGGTGACGTCCTGATGCTATGTCCTATGCCTTCCTGACCCTACATGGTATCGGAATGCCAGTATGTCTTCTCAGGCCATGACATGCCATAAAAACTGAGCAAAACCCAGCTTTACCTGAACGAAGGGACCCCTGGACAAACAGTGGTTGGAAGAAAGGGGGTTAGCTGGTACTCTGGAGTATCAGGACATTTTGTCATTGGTCTGTGGTGTAGAGACCTGCACAGGCTGGCACCCTGGCCACCTTGGCTCCAAAAGCACCCATCAAAATAAGCCACTTGCTTTCTCACATGCAACATATCGTTCTGCCGGGGCGAGGCAGGGGCTCAGCCCTTATCCTCATGCTCCTGGAGTGAGCCCCTCATGATGTAGGAAGGGGGCAGTTTAATACAACCATGCTATAGAGCTCAGCATTCTGGCCTCGGTGTGCAGATCCCATGGCCTTCAGCAGAGCTGCCTGTATGTCTGAGGGCAGATTCTGGCCCTTTGTTTGACACTCTAGGGAGCTGAGAAAACCGGTCTCCCGTGAGCCTGCCCAGTCCTGAGGGAGCCCTCTTCCTGCCTTGCTGAAGGACAGCCTCTCTCCACTGTCATTACTCATCTGGGCGTTCCAGGGAAAGTCTGCTCCCTGGCTTGCCACAGCACCGGCTCCAGGACGGAGTACTTGCCCTCCCACGCAGGGCCTGGAGCAATGCCTGACTCACCCGCGCAGAGGATGTAAGGAAGTAATGTGTGGCAGAGATACATGTTCTGCTGAAAGTCCCAGCTCACCCTAGTACAAGCTCCTGTGTGGGAGCTAATTTTAGCTCTCATCTGTACAGTGTATGCCATCAGCCCTGTGCCGCTGTAGCTCACAGAGAGACGAGGAGAAGGCCCAGGCAGAAATTCCCCCCATTCCAACCCAGTTTACTAGAAAACCTGTCTCTGCTGGTTAATATCACTGTGATTAATACCTTGAAGTGATACGCAACGAGCTGACAGGGCAGAAAAGGGTACAGCTGACTTCATGTGCCTGTTTGCAGATTTCTGACCCTAGCTACTCTTCATCGCGTGTGCGTGTGTGTGTGCGTCTGTGTGTGTGGGAGACAGAGATTCCACCTACTTGTGCATGAGCAGATGTGTGTGTGTGTGAGACTCCGTGCATCCTGTGTGCCTGCCTGCCTGCCTGCCTGCATGTATCAGGCGGCCAGCTGGGTGAATGAGTGGGAGATTGCTGGGGGGACTGTGTAGTGCACAAGAAAATCCTGCGTTTCAACCTGTGTGTGGTCAGCCTGTGCTGGTGCTCTGCTGTCCTGCAGAAGCAAACCCACATGGTGACCCACAGCGCTCAGAGCGACACCGCTTCGGAAAGCACCAACATCGCACTTACCCTTTCTAGGACAATCTCCTCATATTTAAACATGCCATCACTGCCGTTCACCTGGGGAAAGAGAGACAGTGTGTTACACCACCTACCAGCTCACAGGGATTCATTTCTTGCTTTTGACAGGTGCCAGCATTCCCTTCAACATCTTAACAGGGCCGGATTTCCAACGAGGCACAGCAGGCATGTGCCTAGGGGCACCGGCATGCTAGGAGCACCTTACCTCTCTAAAACGGTGTGCAACACAAAGGTCAGCTGTAGGGGGTGGAGCTGAAGATGCTGTGCCTAGGGGCGCATAAGGTGTAAACCCAGCTCTGCATCTTAATATTGAGAATCAGGCCCCATATCCAGGGCTCTGAAGCTGAAAATCGCAAACATAATCCCCTCCTAAAATTAAGCCTAACACTTCTTTCTTTGGGCCCGATCCAAAGCCCAGAGTTCCTTTGTCGTCTTGGTTCTCTCTTGTGTGACTTTAATGGCAGCACATTTTAAACAATGAAAAAGACTTTTGTTTGTTCTGCAGCATATAACTAACCTCTAGAACTCACTGCTGCAGGATATTATTGAGGTAAATAAAGTGGATTAATCAATTTTAAAAAGATTTAAACATAACACTTAGCTTGCATCTTACACCTTCCAAATGCTTTACTAACAAAGTAGTTAATATGGTGGAGTAAATAATTCAGAAAGTAATTTATTTCACTAATTTATCTGGTCAAAAGAGATGTTAGGAAGCATAAGGAATGGGATGGAGACTGGAGAAAGTATTATAATGGCATTACATAACTGAATGGTATTCCCTCACCGAGACAGCGTGTGCAGTGCTGGTCACCCCACTCAGAAGGATACAGCAGGGGGTGGGGGAGTTCAGAGAAGGATAGATTGAAAAGACTGCAATTGTTTAGCTAGCCAGGAGACTAATAAGAGGTGACACGATAGAAGCATATAAAATAATAAATGGTCTAGAGAAGGAAGATTGGGAGCTTTTTGTTCTCACTTTCTCCTAACAAAAGAACAAGGGGACATTCAATAAAGCCAAAAGGGGGTAAATTCAAAACTGATACAAGGAAATACCTTTTCACACAATGTGTAATTAGACAGTGGAACTCATGGCCATAGGACGTAATTGAGACCAATAACCTCCTAAGGTTCATAAAGCAACTGGACATTTATATGGATCACAAGAATATCCACAGTTGTCATTAATTATAACAAAAAGTGTGGAAGGGATATTAGACTTCAAGCTTCAGGGTTAAGCCAGTATCTTACTTACTATTAAAGACCAGAATGAGGCCTGTGGGGGGACCAGTTTACCCCACATCTGTTACTGTGGGGTTCCTGTGCTTTTCCTCTTAAGCATGTGGTGCTGGTTGTTGTCAGAGATAAAGCAGTGGACTAGATGGGCCTTAGGACCAATTCAAGCTGGCAATTCCTATGTTCCTAGACTCTTTTGTTGTTGCTGTTCAGGAATGGCCTGTGAGCAGTTTACAGGCTTTTTGTTTGTTTTTTATTAGCGATTAATTGACAGCCCATAGATTGTGTGCAAGCAGCTTGCTGCAAATACTTCGGATCCAAAATCGGAGCGGCGCTGGTTATTTCTGACTGGATTCACAGGTCACGCTTCATTGATTCTGTTCCCTGATGGGGTGCACATGAACAGTTGCGTTCAAGGTTAAACATTCGTATCCTATGACTATTCTCTCAGGTTCCCTGTTTCTGTGACATTCCTGCCAATAAACTTGCTCAACACAAGATTCATGGAAAGCAAACTCAAAAGGGGTATGAATTCAGCCAAAGCAAAATTACTGAAAGATGCAACCAAATAGCCACAGCATTGTTCAGCAGTAGTTTCCCAGCTCTGCGATTTAATGAGAGTAAGAACAGCACGCATTTCTAGAGGGACACATTCACCAACATCCCAAATGCACCTTATTAGCTCAGTTTCAAGGTAATAAAATTACTAAAATCTGAAACCCTGAATCATGAGCGTTAAGAGGCCACAGTAAATGTTATTTACACGGGGAAGAAAACTTCATATCATTCCCATTTCCTTCTGGGTTCATTTTCTTATTTGTCTTGTTTCAGATCCCCATCACCACGTTCTGCCTAGTGTCTGGGCCTTGGCAAGTTGAGAAGCACGAGCCCACATGATGGTGGACAGGAGGAGAATGGCTGTGATGGCAGAAGGGGAAGGAGAAGGGTCTGGCTGCTCTCACCACTCAATACCGCTCTAGCAGATAATGATTGTAATTGCCTGGTACCAGTCATGCTGGAGCAGAAAGGAAGCAGGGGGTTATTTACTCGCACAGCGCTGCAGATTCACAGAATCATTTCCATTCGCTTGGCATCCTCCTTTAATTCTCCTCTGTGGGGATGAGGCAGTAGCGCGGCCGTGCTCATGGCTCATTCCCTGTGGCCGGCTCCTCCTGCTCGTGGTGCGACAAGGGAGGGAGGGTAAAACCTCCCTTTCACACCTCTAGTTCCTTTTAACGTAAGGGCTTTTCAGACATGTCCCGGGCAGTGCCTGGGAGGCTCCATCTCTATTCCCCGACCCGCCATGTCTCACTCATTGGAAACAGGAATGGGTGCACCTCTTTTCTCGGGGGGATGGACCCCATGAGGTTTTGATTTGTTGCTGCTGGTTCTTGCAGTCCTGTTGAGGGGTGGGAGTAAATGTGTTCACATGTTTCAGAAAGACAGGCCAAGGCTCTCAGCGTGTGGAGCAGAGACGCCAGCTCGCTCCAGAGAGGCTGCAGTGGCAGGATGAAGTTAATGAAGTCAGGAAAGGTTATGTTACGTAGCACCTGCTGGAACACTCTGCACGTTCCCACTATTGGGTCCAGCTGGGCTGGTGGGAACCTCTAGCAACAGTAGTGCCTGCTGCAGCACTGTTGTGGCTTTTACCTGTCCAGGAACAAGGCTATGAACGGGGGCACCATGCTCCAATCACCTCCGCTCCTTTCTCTGCATGCCTGGAGCCCAGCAGATGGTAACAGCACTCCGAGGTGTGGGGAGGCTGAGCAGGGAGCATGGATCTGTACAGGCTTCTTTAGAAGAAACTCAAATTACTGGTGAGTATCCTCCATTTCTTCTTCCAGTGGCCTCCGTACACAGCCACTTGTGGGAGCTTAGCAGGCAATCATCCTCCCCAGGATGGCAGGAGGAGGAGGACTACTTGATGAGAGATGGTAGCACCACTCTGCCATACTGGGCATGTGATCTAGATACCATGTCTACTGAGCGGTGTCTGGTAACTGTGTGGATTGAGCTCCAAGAAGCACTCTACAGATCTATTGGGATAAGTCTCAAAAAAGCCAGAGTTTGCCTTATCCCTGGCTGAAAGGGTTTTGAGTCCCTTGGATATAAGGGACTTTGGTGACAGTTCAGAGTCTAGTCCACTTGGATAGGCACTGAGATGTAATGCCCTGGCCCTTGTGACTGCCTCCATAAAACAGAGAAAATCTCGGTGACTTTCTACGTTATTTTGACCTATTTAAATAAAAGACTAATGCCCTCTTAGCATCCCCTAGCCTCCAGTCCCTAGGGTGAGAGTAAAGTCTGGAAAAGATTACTGGCAGAGTCAAGGTTTGATTAGGTGAAAGTCAGTTCTCACCCTGGGCACGAACTCTGGATACAGAACGAATGACCCCTCTGCCCTGTTAAGGGAAGTCAGACACAAGGGCGTGCAGCTTACTAAGCCCCCTCGCTGCACCAGTAGCTAGAATAGAAGCTATGTTGACAGAAAGATGGAAAAGGGAGTGGCCCCCTGGGTTCAAAGGGAGGCTGTGTTTGTTGGCGGAGTGAGGACAAGATTGAGGTCCCAGGGGGGAGGAGGGTCTCTTACCAAAACATAATTTTGTTAGACCCTTCAGAAACCATTTTACCTCAACAGTAATACACCACCACCCAGCTCTTCTACAGCACCTTCCCCGCAGATCTCAAAGCGCTTCCCAAAGCAGGTCAGCATCACTGCCCACATTTTACGCACGAGAAGACAAGCACAGAGACGGGAAGTGACTTGCCCAGGGTCACCCAGCGGGCCAGTGGAAGAGCTAGGACTAGAGCCCAGCTCTCCCAAGGCCCAGGCCAGTGCTCCAGCTCCTAGGCCACACTCACACAGGATGGCTGAATACCGTTTTATGCTCTACTTGTACGTGAGAATCAGAGAAACCCAGGAGTGCTCTAAAGGAGGAGAGGGACAGACCCAGCAGTAAGAGGACAAGGAAATAGTCCATTATGGACTGAATAGAAGCCACAGATTAAACCATACTACTGAGAGCTGCCCAAAGGGAGAATTTATTTAACTTGCAGGTATAGTAGGAACAAGCTGATTGATTTTTGAACTCAATTAGAGCTGACAAGTGCAGGGGCAGTGTAAGTGGATATGGCCACCCTGTAGCACCCCCTTCTGGCCAAATGTTGCATTGCAGGCGCTCCCCAAAATGTGTCTCCTCAGCTCTCCACACACTAGGCACTTGTGGAGATGTCTTCACCCTCCAGCCAAGGCACAACACAAGAAATCTCCAAAAAAACAAAGATTCTTTCAGCCCACTATTCCCAGCCCTTTCTGTGCTACCTTTGGGAGTCTCTGTCTTTCTCCCCTTGTTCCCCTGGTGTACCCTTTCTGCTCAGACCCTGGCTCAGGGCCTTCCAGAGGAACACATGAGCAAGCCAGCTTTTCCAACAGCCACGTTGCACTCCCCTCGCTCAGCCCTTTCTAAGGCCCAGCTGTCCATCAGGCTATCACCTGCCTCTCCTTGGGCCCACCCCCTCAGGCTGGGAAACAGCTAATTCATTATGGCACAGATGTGGCTGGCCCCATCTGCCCTTAAACGGGCAGTCCCACCGAGTCCTTCAATGACCATTTATGTTGGTCTGGCTGATTCCTGCTCAGCTGGCCTTTTGTCTGTTTTGGCCAGGACAAAGCAAATCAAGCAGGAACGGCGCTCACTCCTTAGAGACAGCAAAGTCCACAATGAGCAGCTCGACATGGAGGAGCTGAGAACAGCCTGAAAACCCTGACATGTGGAAAGGCAACTGGACATGATGCCATATCT